CAGACTCACGGAGGTCTTGGAGGAGGGAGTTCCAGAGCTTCGGGGCTGCCACAGAGAAGGCTCTGTCCCCAAAGCTCCGGAGTTTGGCCTTGGGGATGGAAAGCAAACCGGCTGAGGTGGATCTGAGGGACCGGGGTGGTTGGTAGAGGATGAGGAGGTCAGTGAGGTAGGGGGGGCCAGGTGGTGGAGGGCTTTGTAGGTGAGGACCAGGAGTTTGTATTGGATGCGGTGTGAAACGGGGAGCCAGTGGAGTTCTTTGAGGACCGGGGTGATATGATGCCATGATTTGGTGTGGGTGAGGAGTCTGGCGGCTGCGTTCTGGACACGCTGAAGTCTATTGAGGGATGTAGTGCTGATGCCGTAGAGAAGTGCGTTGCAATAGTCAAGGCGGGAGGAGATGAAGGCGTGAATGAGTCGTTCGGCTGCGGGGCGGGTGAGAGAGGGACGGAGTTTGGCAATATTGCGGAGGTGGAAAAATGAGGTTTTTACAACTTGGCGGATGTGGGGCTTGAGGGAGAGGGTGGGGTCAAATATAACGCCAAGGTGGCGTGCCTGGGTGGATAGGGAAACAGGGGTGCCATCGATGGTGAGTGTGGCAGTTCCTGCGGGGCCTGGGACCCTGGCTGGCGTGAAATTCAGTGGCTCTGCTGCTTGGTCATTCTCCTCTCTGTTGTGCCACCCAAGTTCTTCTTCTGTCGTTCTGGAAGAGGAAGAACCTCGGCCACGCTTCCTGGGTTTTACAGATGTATCTGACGCTTTTCCTCTTCCTGGCTGAGGAGCGGGAGCAGAAAGCTGGTAGAAAGCAGACGACGGTAGCTTTGGAAGTGAGTGCTTTTTGGATGCAGGCTGAGTGGCCAATACTGGTGCAGATCTCTTTCTAGTGAAAGATGAGGCAGAAGTTGAGGAATGTGAGGGTGAGGCAGGTGTGGGCTGGGTGAAAGTAGACAATGGTGGGGGTCCAGAAGCCATTTCATCCTCATCTCCATCACTATGAAAACAAATGTGGAAAAACAAAGAGATTAGATTAATTCCTGTAATTCCTGTAATCCATGTTTCCTTGGCAGTAAACATGCCATTTTGAGTGTGTGAATGCAATACATTTAGTGACTATAGATGAACACTGGCCTATACTTTAGTAAATGTAACAGACAAGAAACACTATTTGGTATTTTTGTAAATAATCCCTCTAATTCCTGCCAAACATGCCATTTTGAGCGTGTGAATTTACATTACATTATATTTCATTTAGCAGACGCTTTTATTTACTATATGAATAAATCATACACCAAATAAATAAGTAATAGATAAAAACAGAGAGATTACATACCTTTCCCGTGGTGGAATTTCATCATCAGATTCACAACAGTCTGGGTTCCGTTCTGGCTGCAGGAGATCCTCGTCGTCTGACTCAGAATCAACAGGTAACATATCTGCATCGCTGTCAACATTAGTCAGAATTTCCATTGCCTGTAAAGTACTAAAAATATCTTTCCTGCGAGCCATTATTTGACAAGAGTCAAAGTATAGAAAAAGTCCTAAGCGCAAATCTTGTAATCTGCTCTGTTATCTGCTGTCCACTCTGTGCTCCGTGCGCTCTGGGTCCTGCAATAACGGCTTCCTTACGTAGTAAACACTGCATAGAGTCTGCTGCGTAATGTGCTGACGCTGGCTGGCATTCTTTATACTTTACGCAGGACCATATCTCTGGAACCCATTGGTGGATTTGGGTGATTTAAACCTTTTTCTTAACCATTAGATCCAATAGAATCGATGGGCAGTTCCCAAATCCACGTAAACATTACCATTGCGGACGTAATAGAGATGCAACGAAGCATATCTGAAAGTACAAGCCCTGGACTGCAAAATAGAGATGTCCCGATCCGATCACGTGATCGGGGATCGGAGCCGATCACGTGATTTTCAAAAGATCGGAATCGGGAGAAAACATTTTTTTTTTTACACAACATCATGTATGTGTTGCTTCTTTTGGGCTTGTTTTCATCGAACTGGTTGCTTATTTCTCTCAAATCTGGCAACAGAGTGGGCGCAGTGTCTAATAGTAGCAGTAAGCTAACGAGAGGCTACGTTCAGCTGGTGACTCGGGAGTCGGGACAGAGAAAATGTCAGGAGTTTGGAAGTATTATAAAATTGAAAGCGAAGGCAGTGTAACAACCAGATGCAATGTTTGCAAGGCGGAGGTTCCGCGTGGTGGAAAGAACAGAGCTACGTTCAACACGACCAATCTAATACGCCACCTGAGAAACAAACACCAACAACAACACGACGAGTACACAGCGGCCACTCAGGTAACGGCACTGAAACAACCGACACTTTCAGAGACTTTTAAAAGGAAAGAGAAACTGCCCCAGAACAGTGAAAAGGCCAAACAAATAACAGCCAAGATAGCTGAATTCATCGCGTTGGATGACCAGCCGTTATCTGTTACCTTTTTTTTCTCTTAATGCATTACATAAAGATCGGATCGGGAAAAATCGGTATCGGCAGATTGTCAAAATCAAATGATCGGAATCGGATCGGGAGCAAAAAAAGGTGATCGGGACATCCCTACTGCAAAACTTTATACCCAGTATATTGCCATAAATATGATGATGACACAGAGACATTGGATTAACCTTGAGCGGCGTTTTTATTCCATTGAACACAACTTTTGATCACAAATCAAAAAAGGTAAGACGTAATTATTGTTATGGTTTTGAAACCGGATGTTGTTTTCTTTCTTAACCTCTTAAGGACGAGGGCCTTAAGAGGTTAAGATAACTCAAACATATCCAGGGTATGTTGAACTGGCTTCGTAGTACAGGGCACAAGTGGCTGCATAGCAGCGCTAATGTCAAAGACACAAACATTATACATTATATATTTTATTTTACCAGGATGCAGTGACACAAATATTTGGGAAGGCTTAGCCTTCCCTAGCCTACAGTACCCGCCGCCCCTGACAGTATCTAATATTAAGAGTTGCGTGAATTTCATTCAAGGCAAGGCAACTTTATTTACTTAAAGGCCCTGACACACCAGGCAGTCACCAGAGAACTCGCCGACACCGACAGTTCCATCGACGAGTTCTCCTGCGTCTTGGCCATGTGTCGCACTGGAACACACCGCAAAGACTTCAGCCGAGCACGTACGAACTGCGCATGCGTGAGTGGCAATAACTCTCCTTACCAGCAGGCGGTGGTAGTGTGTATTCGTCATTCAAAATAGGCAACAACCGGAAGACAGAGAAGAAGAACAGACTGATATAAACAAACAAATAGCGTGTGCGTTCCATTTTCACTCTCGTCCATCGAAAACATGTTTTAGAATATAAAAATACATGAATGATGAAATGAGCACATAAAGTGCAGACATACTATAAAATCACAGTTAATAGACCTGCTTCTGATGATCGCAGTGTTCTGGCGGGTGTGTAGTTTATTGAGTCAGCAATGTAGTAATGTATGTAATGTAATAATGGCCACTTCTTGCTAAATGTACATTTCCATGTGATGCTTTTATCCGAGGCGACTCACAATAGGTAAATGAACAGCAGTAGTCAGTATCTCATTTACTTAGACACTGTACTTAAGGACAATGTTGAGGTACTTGAGACTAATCCTGCAACTTTATACTGACAAATAAACCGATGAGATGAAAAACCGGACTTGACCAAACAAATCACGGAGCTCTCAGCAGAGGACAGCTGGGGACGCTCCCGCCGATATCAGAGATGTCCCTGCTATGTGTGGGAGGTAAGAGAGGACATTTAAGGGCTATGTTTGATGTCTTTAAAGTATCACCTGCTGGGGTTTAGCTGCTGTCCTGTGCCTTCTTAAATCGTTTGTTTACGTCCCTCACTTCCGTTTCGCTTCTCATTTGCTAGCTGAACAGCTGATCAGAGTGGTTTCTTGGCCTGATAGCTTGTGTCCGACACCCGGCCGTGAAAGGCCAAATAAGGCGTGTCACGGCCGAGGGTTCGGGACACACCAAATTGACTTTGGGCGACAAGGAATGCGTTGTCGCCAGACAACCGAAGACGGCCGATATCGGCCTGGTGTGTCAGGGCCTTTACACATACAGAGGATAAATTCAAAGTAGTACATTCACTGACATGAATGACATGGATATGGCGCCACCTTGTGTCATGTTTACAATGCAGATTATTGACATTAGGTCTGGTAATACAGTCAATCATTATCCTGGTGATTATTTCGCAGATAAACCTAGTAACCCCGCCCCCTTTAAAAAAACGGCTCTTTGAAAGGAACGGAGCCATAAGATCCGGCTCCCTTCAAAGAGCCATAATTCCCATCACTAAAACTGAGTCATGTAGAAAAGTTTTTCTTTTGTTATATTTAACAAAGTAATAAAGAAAGTAAAATACGATCTAAAATGCAGGAACAGAGCAACTTCATCCTCAGAGGATAAAGAGGGTCTGCACCCCGAACACAGCTCACATTCCCATCCCACTATGTAGAAGAAAGAAAACAGTCTACTAATCCTACCCATAAATTCTGTTAGACATTCTCTAAACATTCCCACCACCACACCATAAAACCTCCCAGTCCTTAACCATTTGCAAATCCACCTTTTGCCCTCTGAAATGTAAAACCTAAACATATTTACATCTGTTAAACACATATGAGACTAAGAATAACATTTAACAGAGTAAAAGGCAATCAGAGTATAAGACATGTGTATAAATATGATGATGAATGATTATATGATACTTTGACACAACACTGCTTTTCAAAGACAGACAGCAGTAACTACAGAGAAGTTGAGAAAGAAAGGGTTATAAGTTAACGGCTGCTGAACAAAGTGTATAACAGTTAAATAAGTTGTACAATGTAAATGTCGTGCCTTTACAGACTACACAAAAAGAAACCACCCAAACAATCTGAGCTAGGCTAGTTAGCTGTTAGCAGGCCTGGGCTAACTGCTGTTCCTGTTCTTTGTCTCGTGTTTAGTGAGTCGTTGTGTCTCTGCAGTACACTCACCAGTGTTTGCAGAGGTTCTGCTGTGTTGTCGAGAAGAAGCTGCTGGATTCAGTTGTTTCTTCAGAGAAACAGAGACGCTGTCTGGACCGCAGCTCTGCTCTCACTAAGTTTCACTTTCTCTTCTGTGAAGTTGTTGAAGCTCTCCTGTTTCAGTGCTCCTCCTCTCAGTGTAGCTCTGTGAGTGAGGGTGTGTCACTCTCTGGGGAGGACATTAACTCAGCTTTGTAACAAGAGGAGGTTTACTTTGAGTCTATTCTTCTTCTTTGCTTGAAGTAAACAGCAACCAGACAAAAACAATTACAAACAGACATGAGAAAAGAGGTCAGAGAAAGATAATAAGGAGCATTCTGTGTGTTTTGATAAATGGGCTACAGCGCTCCCTTTACAGTCCCTCTACTTTCCCACAGACCCTCTAATAACCAACTCACTGTTTCTTCTACATGTAATGTCACATTTCTACTGCTTTCCCAACTTTAATCCTGTTTCTTCCTGATAAAAATGTATAAAAGCAAAGATGGAAACCCTTTTTCTCCGGGCCACATTCAGGCTGCTCTTTGATTTTGAGTTTTCACAATTATGAAAGAAAAATTATCCTTTCAAATAACTTGTTTTAAGCACATTAATCAGATAGAGTATCCCTCAATCACCTTTCACTACAAAAGTGTAGATATGTGAAAGTATAGGAGATTAAGAGTTTATTTAACTCATGCATTCATGTCATTAGTTTCAGTATCAGACTGGTGATACAGTCATTTATAAGAAGCATGCATCAGGCTGCAGTTTGTTATAAAACCCACAGGGCTGGCATGAATTCATGGTAAATCTGTTCTTTTTTATTATATTTACTGTGCATATATCTGAGATCAAGTCCTTTAAATGCAAATTATGGACGATTAAATATTCAAATCATGCCTGTCATTGTCTTAACCCTTCTCTTGTGTTAGGTCATACCCCCCTTCCCATGCTATTTTCGGTCAAAATTGACCGGTGTGTTTTGCACAGTGATATCTCTGGAACCCCTTATCCAATTTTGATGGTTGACATCTCATTTGAACAGCCAAAGCAAGTCGAATCAAGGGGTGGCAGACAGAATGATACCAGGGGTGGATTTCATGTTATTTTTGGCAGTAAGTTCAAAAATAGTGCTTATTTTACATTACTGTATATCAGGGGTCGGCAACCCCTGGCACTCGTGCCACCAATGGCACGCGGCACCGTAACCAGTGGCACACTAGGAATAAGTGGAATAAGTGTGCAAAATATTTAAATTGTATTTTCGGATCCTGAACGAGACCGCCGCCAGAGCGCGTCTCCCCGTTACCTGCAGAAGGAAGCCATGCACGCAGCGCAGCCCCGCTCTGTTTAACTCCAGGCGACTTTCTGCCGCTTTCCTCCGTAATGCAGTGCTCATAGTTTCACCACAGAGGAAAGCACTTCACAAATTGCAATACTCATAAGGAGCTGTAAAAATGCCGCAGTTTTTGCGTGGCGATCGATATCGGCCGATACTCACTCTCTGCCGATCGATCGGTGCTCTCTAAAAAGGCCAATCGCGAGACGTAAAATACATGACACTTTTCTCTGTGTGCGGCAAAACAAGCTCGCCAAAATCGCTTCACCAGTCTGGCAGTATTTTAAGGTGTCCGAAAAAGACAATAAAATAGCGGTTTGCAACGTGTGTGAAGCAGAAATCCTGCAGCTCCACCCGCTGTGACGGACCGGTGAGCGGAGCAGAACACACAAGAGTTAGACCTAACACACTTAGCTATTTGATCTACCTCTGGAACAAGCTAAACTAGTTATAAATATATTTATTCTTCACTGTCACTCATTACTGGATCAGTGAGCTGCATGAGATACTGACAGGCTGTCAGGAGAGAGAGAGAGGGGGAGAGAGGAAAAGAGAGCGCTTCCGCTCATTTCTCCCGTGTTATTATCCAAAGTTAATGTAAACTTGAATAATGTCTTCATTTGAATCTAACAATTATGTTGGTTGTTGTTTGTGGAAGCGCCAGTGAATGAGCCCCATTAACTGAGTTTAAAACATCACTTTTCCCGAGCGTTTTCGTCGAGCTCTTCACCCCCCCCCCCCTCCCCCCCGTTGATAATTCACGATCGTCGGAACGCTGATAAAAAAAAAAAATGTTTGAATGGCACTTCATATCAAAAAGGTTGCCGACCCCTGCTGTATATTATAAAGATGCTTGCCATGTAGGCTGTGTTTACTGGATTCTTCCCGTTCCAATGATGTATGGGATGTATTGATTTGATACAAGCAAGCCAGTGTTTCATGTCATGGTCCGGACCCACCGGTGGGCCCATCAAGTTCAGCATTCACTGCACTCACTGTGATGAATATAAAATAAGACACTGATACTGTTTTCCTCAATGAACATTTATTGAAAGAGAAATATGCCATAACAGAGTAACTGTGTGTGTGTGTGTGTGTGTGTGTGTGTGTGTGTGTGCGTGCGTGCGTGCGTGCGTGTGTGTGTGTGTGTGTGTTCTGACCGAAAACATCATGGGTGTTTCACTGTTGAATAAATCACTCAAAATTCAATGCAAGTGGTGATCATCAAGTGTATATGTTCAGAGGCCTGGTGTGGAGGATAACATAAGGTATTGAGGCAATTGGATGAAAAACACAATATTTATGATTAACACAAAAGTCATTCGGTCACTTTTGACCCGAAACGCAAGAGAAGGGAACGTTGCATTATGCTAGGACTTTATCAGGTAGGACTTAAAACCGTAATAGTTTATCTTCAAAGCGTCATCTCTAGTCTTAATGGAGTCAAATCTCAGGTCCTCTTTGATTGCACAACACGTGGGTTAAAGCTCTTTGTGTTGGAAAGGCCAGCATTGACATCTAGTGGAGTAAAGTGAGAGCTGCACAACAACGTCTGCTTCCTCAGTCCCTGCAGCAGCAGGAGAGGAGAGGATGGTGAATGGACAGCTTGTTGTTGCACAGTTTAATGTTGTGTGTTCATGAAGTCGATGTCCTCTTACTTACTAAGTACATATCCTGTTTGATGTGCCGTGTATTGGCTTATTGTCATAATGCAGAGTATGAACAGCCCCCCCTTTCAGGAGCCTCGTGTTGCAGCTAGTTTGTATCTCATCTGCAAAACTGACTTTATTTATACCCACTGTTAAGAGGAAGTCAAGTTTAAAAAAATCTGAAGTTGCCACATTCCTCCTGTTTTGGCTGCTTTGCACTGGTTCCCTATAACACACAGGATATCATTACAAATGCTTCTTCTTGCGTACAAATCCTTCAATGGGCAGGCGACATCTTATCTTAAATATCTCATTATACCCTACTGTCCCAATAAAGCTTATAGGACGACATCATCATCATCATCATCATCATCATCATCAGCCCCTTATTCTTCCTGCTATAGTCTTAGACTGTCGGGGACACCTTACTTCTTTCTTCTCTCTCTCTGTACCTGTTTACTCTCATGTTTCGAATAACCCAGCTTCCCCCGAAATGTGTTTTTTGTGAATGTCTACGCCTGGATCCTGAGTTCTGGATCCTGAGTTCTGGATCCTGAGTTCTGGATCCTGAGTTCTGGATCCTGAGTTCTGGATCCTGAGTTCTGGATCCTATCCCGCTACCATCTAATGCAGGGGTCTCAAACTCAAGGCCCGGGGGCCAAATCCGGCCCGCAACTTCATTTTATGTGGCCCCTTAAGAGCTTGCAAAGAATATAATACGTTTATTATACGGTTACATGCCACTTTACAGAAGCAGGTTGCCCATAAACTACATGTCCCAGAATGCATCTCGTTTTGTGACATGCGCACTGAAGAGACTTGCAATTACTTGCCCTGGACTTCTGCTTTCAGACGTAGTTATTTACTATTTACTAATTAATAATCAAATTCAGAGGCAATAATGTAATATAATACATCATTTTATATATATATTATATATTTATATAGTTACAACCGGCCCTTTGAGTGCAACCTTTATGCGAATGTGGCCCGCGATGAAATTGAGTTTGACACCCCTGATCTAATGGGAGATACAGGGTCCCTCGATTCAATAGAGTCAGCCTGAAGCATCCTTTGTGCTCCAGTCGACCCTCTCAGTGAACACAGAGCTACAGATCAGATGCACGCTGAAGGCTCGTTGAGCATCTCTCACTGATCCTGCTGCTATGTTACATGTTTGTTGTTTGTTTCTCATGTATTGTGTCCTGATGTTTGTCTGTTGATGTTACACATGGAGCTGCTGTGATGCAAGGAGCATTTCAGACTTGATCTGACCATTAAAGTATTATCCCATCGTATCGTATTTCTCCCATTAACTGGGGGGTGTGTGTGTCTGGACAGAAGGTCCAGTTGTGATAGACACGGTTCGCCACTGTCTCACAGCGAGTGTGTGGTTTGACAGATTCTCGGTTCCTCCCCTCAGAGGCTCGAACCAGCCGGAGAATGTGGACACTCCTCTGAAGCTGAGAAACAAGCTCTGTAACTATGGGCTGTAACCCGATAACTGATCACTGGTCAGCTCTGAACCAGCACAACGAGGCACACTGGTGTGTTTACTTCACTGCAGTCGCATCCTATCAAGCACTGGGATTAAGAACATTTAGCTGAATGTTCACTCGTTTCAAATTCAATATGATAATCTCTCATGTGATTAAATACTCTACTTCACCACTGTACCATCCTTGAAAAACACAATTTCTTGAGTTTTTACCATTTTAAGTCTTTTAAAAGTATGTGTTTACATGGACTGCCCCTGAGCTCAAAGCTAAAATCCGGCTCATTTACGCTTGTAAGCATTGTTTTGTTTTAAAGTGTTCATCGATGTGCACTGTCCCGGTTCAAATAAACGATTAAATGAAATACTGTTAAACCGGAACAAAAACATTAATCTCATCATTAAATTAGTCTCAATGATTTATTATATGTATTATCAAGGTGTGAATTAAATAAGGCACATTCACATCATTTAAAAAAACATCCAAAACCTTAAAAATAAAACCAGTGGTACAAAAATAATTAAGGCTCGACTTCTGCAGTTTAGCGGCTTTGACATCCTTTCATGTTAAAGTGAAAAACAATGGAGTGGACACAAAATGGACGAAACACATCGAGTCTGAAGCTTCACCGAAACAAATAACATGAACTCTGAGAG